AGGTTTGGGGCTGACGCCCTCTTCGTCGTCCCTAATTGGGTAACGGTGTCGGATCGAGTGCACTAACACTGAGCTCGTGAGGTTGACGACGAAAAATGTGTCCACACCCCATCAGTTGCCTTTTTGGGTGGCCTGTGATATCCTTGCGCATATCCACGCGCATAGCCCAGCATTCACAGCTGTAAATAAGAACAGACTGCATGGATGCACAGTATACGTGAACCTTCAGGGCCATAGGAATTTCGCGTCGGGTCCATAGGCACTTTCTAAGGCTTGAGTAAACTCTACGAGCTGCCTCGATTAGGGAAATCGTGTCATCCTTACTCTGTTCATTCGGCAGCAATCTTGCTCTGAGGTATTTGAAAACGTCTACTTCTTTAAGTTGACAGCCACTAATTTCGAGACTTGCCTTCGCTTGATCAGGATCCTAGCATGAAAACACTGGTCCTTCCCGTGTTTATGGACAAACCGGCCGACTTAGCAACCTCATTCACACTGACACTACAAACTGTAGATCACCAGAACTCGAAGCCGGTAAAGACATTAAATCGGTGTAGTCGAGATCAGTTAGCGGGCATCTGTGTTCAAGCTCAACACCGCTCTCTTCGCGTAGGACCTTCCTATTTTACGTCATAGGGATTTACGATAGACGGAATCGAACGCAGCGGCAATTTCAGAAAGGAAAACAGCCTTTGGGTGAGAGCTTTCCTTTGGAACTTCCACCTGCAGCTGTCGAACCTCACTTGCTATTTACTTGCCAGCTACATGCCCTCACTCGCTTGTAGCGGCCTTTGACTTGCACGTTATTCATTTAGCTAAAAAAGCCCATGGTGTAATTTTTCACTATCTTCCTGGAGAGGGATATATACTGCCGGTAATGGAAGGGCTTTTTGGCCTCCAACTTCACTTCATTGCACCTAGTATTGCTTTAGATTTTCTGTATACTCCGTATGACGCAGACCACCTACACAATGGCTTAAGCACCTGATTACGACTAAAATTCTTTTATCTTGCCTTGTCACCACATACTATCCAGCGCTCGAACCTGATGGACCAGCAAGCGCTCAGATTGATTGATCCTATGTTACTGTGCACATTGAATGTGCAAAAAGCATTCGTTTCCAGGTACTATGTTTCTCAGTATTCCTATCCACACACACCAAAGGTAGGTTTATGGGAGCGTCCGTCATCCCCTCAAACTTCTCAATGATTCAGTCAGTAGTATAAACTGTGCTGCACATACCACACGTGCAAAATACGGAATTCTGTGCCGTGGCACTTTGTAAGTAACAAAACAACACAACTATGTTGGATAAGTATTAAAATCGCATATCCTCTTGGAAAACACCATGTAGAATCATTAATAGAGGTGAATATGTGAGCCCTAATTCTTGATACAAAGAAGAACTTACGATTATTTAAGCATCAGTGGTAGCCTGAACTTTTGAAATTGTTCAGGAGTCCCTAATCGGAGACTATGAGAGACACGTTAATATACTCTCTGTTGTCATGCTCATGCGCCGCTCGGTTCCCAGCCAAGGATGCATGCAACCAACACACTTTGTAATCCCTAAGTTAGACGGCGTAGTTCGAGCCTGGCCACAAGTACAATTTTACCGTCCCCCCTCTCTCATTATGTGACCAAAAACGCTTCAGTCGTTTTTGCACTCTTGTAGTCTCTGATGAAGGGCTCCTGTAGGAGTCCGAGAGCTGAGTCCAATAACGTGTTGTTACAGTGATTTTACGTTCTTTGCGTCTGGATTCATTTTTTTCGTAATATAGATTTCGCATAGCAAAAGTTGTCAGAACAGTTTTAATAACGCTTCTTTTTGGCAGTTTGAGTTTAAGAAAACCAGAAAACGATGCAGGGCGTGGAGGATATCAATTATTGGCGAGAAAAGGCCGAAGAGTACAAACGAAAGTAAGTAGATGATGTTCTCCATTTTCACCTTTTAAAATAGTTGGGAGACAGAACGGGAAGATTTTAGGGATTTTCAAATAAGTTCAAAGGAACTCGAAGGTGAACTAGAAACGCAACTTGAAGTAGCTGAAAAGAAAAATGATGAGCTAAGAGCAGCTCTTGAACGTTTGTCGATAGAACTGGAGAATACTACGGTTAGTTTATTTTGACCACAAAATATATATTTATGCAGAGTCGCTATGAGTCGACCACAGCCTCACAGAACCGACAGTTGACATCTCTGCAGGAGGAGCTGAACAACTTGAAGTCTGAAAAAGCGCAACAACAAGTTTATATAAGGAAACTTGAACAGACTAACGACGATCTCGAGCGTTCGAAACGGTAGTTTTTTCTTCTGGAATTGTTCATAATTTCCCTTAGCACGGCCCTCGCTTCAGTAGAAGACTTTGAAAACAGTGTAAATAAACTTATTGAACGGAATGCTTTGTTGGAAGGTGAACTTGATGAAAAACAGGAACTCCTCGAATCTGTTCAACGTTTAAAGGATGAAGTTCGAGGTAAGTCTTTCGCACACATTTTCCCTCCTTATATCTGCTTATTGGTCATTTAAAATGTGTATCGCTTGGCAAAGTGTCATATTGGTCCGTCATCCCACTTTTAATTCCACCAACCTCTACACTACATTTATTACTGAATGAATATCAGACTTAATAAGGTATACTTAAGTTCTGTACTGACCTCAGTAGATGAGAGATGAGTTTCCATAGGCTCCGGCAGTGAAATACATAACTAAAGCCTTATACGAACGCTTGAGTGATATTGATAACCATTTGAAAACTAAATACGTCGTGAAAGGGCCTTCAACCAGATCCAGGTCTCCGCGGTCTCCGCTCGGCTTTCATACCAGAAGTCCTCTGGTATATACAACAGTCTATCTTTGGCCCAGGTCACATGCGTCGATCCCCTAATCTGACCGTGTCGATCAACTTAAGCAAAGTAAACGCCATCCTCCATTCTGCAAATACGGTATGGACGAAGAACCAGATGTTTTTT